TACTCTGCCGGCAGTTAGTTGAAACTTTTGAAATATGGCACTTAATTTAACCAGACTTCGGCTCTCGCTTTGAATTGTACATTTCTATTCAAGCGCCTTTAGACGAGCATTGATTGTAACGTGGTGTCAAAAAATCACTTATTATTACTATTTACAACATCCGAGATAAATGAGTATTAGTGATGCTGTTAACTGGATTGATTGCTAGGGTCTTCACATGTAGCCAGCTTCGGCTTTGTCGTTACCCACCCTCTTATGAATTTTTTGGCCTCTCTTTCTATTCTATTCATGTACAGTAGTGAAAGGAAATATGAACGAGGAAATAAGCGACATTTGGCAGCAAGGTAGTGGGTACTAGCTGAGGATATGCAGTTCTGGGCTGAATAGGCTTAAATAGTTGCGCTCAGCCTGAAAAAGCGTCCCGGTAACGTCACAGACGCCAGATCGGCACACGAATTCTCCGGGTGATTTGGTGATCTCATCTTGCGTCTCCTGACTGGTTTTCTCCCACTAGCTACTCCATAATCTGTCTTGCCGGAGCTCTTCTGAAAGCCCATTACACATCACGTAGTACTGAAACGCCACTTCAGTTCGGAAGATGGGGCCTGAAAGAAATACACTTTGTACTTCTGTCAAACTCCGTCTTCCTAACTCTCCGTTGTATTTATTTCTCTGTGCATGTTAAATTCAGAAATGCTGCTATTGTTTTTGTTATTATCATTGTTATTGTTGTAGTTGCTAGAAGATAATGCATTTAGTTTCATTTATGTGATGCGTGCAAGCAGGAAAACTAATATAGGTCGTTTCCAAAAAAATATTCTACATGCCTTGAACGGTAGGTGGATAGAAGCTGGAGAACTGTAGCTTTGCACAAAGGGCATTATAGCATCCAGACACTGTCATCGGTATTTGATCCATGGGATTGGTGATTCTTCTGATTTTGATGGCGAATTATCGTCATTATCACTACAAACTATGAAATGTCTTTTGTATTTCAGTTGCAAAGCCTCAGCCAATTGCGCCGGCAGGTTTGGTGCCTGTTGGCGCCCCGGTACCGATGATGTTGATGTCCACGACGGTGCCACAGCTGGGCTCATTCACTGGGCCTGCTGCAGTACCATTCATGGGACCAAATGGCCAAATCATACATCAGCAGTTAATTTCTACTTCTTCAGTTCCAGCGCATCAAATGATACCAGTTTTCCAGCAACAGCAGCAACAAAATGCTGCGCCGCAGTTTGCTGTCTCTCAGCCCGTGGCGCCAAATTCAGCTCCAGGTTTTTTCCACTAGAAATTTGTTTAAATTTCTCTGAGTATTGCTACTGGGTCTACTGGTTGGCTTTCCTTAAAGCGCTGTTTACTGGTTATTCTGCTGAATTAAATCACTTGGTAAATTTTTCTAGAAAATACTAGCGATTCAGTGTTTTTGTATATTTCTTTTTTACTTCCATTCGGTCTATCTTAATTTACAGAAACAACGGACCGAGACTCGCAGAAAACGCAGCTTGACGACGAAAATGGACTTGTTGATTCCGGTATAGAAAATGAGCCACCACCTCTTCTTGTGCAAGGTTCCTGCTCCCCTTTCGTCATTTACGAAGCTTCTTTATTCAGTGGCATTTCCAGTGTTATTTGAGTAGCACTGAATTCAGCTATGAGAAGCGTATCGTTTAATTAGAAAAGAGCGGAATTTAGCTTAAAGAGCAGCAAAATCGGTCGAGAAAAGTAAAAGTATCCTGAAAAATGGAATGCTAAATTTATTTATCCGAAGTCAGGTTAAGCCAAAGAAATGCTTTAGACATGAAAAGCATATGTGCTGCTTAACATAACTACTGATACTGTGTTATGCAGTGCTCGAGATATTATGCATTGGATAATTCAGTGAGCGGCTCCTTCAAACTGACGCGTAATTGCTGTAGCCGTAAAACCATCATCTGACAGCCATTCGGATAGTGATCTCGGTGTTTGCTCCTTTGCTTTTATTCCTCTTTCATTTGGAAGAAAGTGCTCACTGCTTCCAACTCCGATAACCAACACTTGTCAAAGGGGGTTCCGTGGCTTTACCTCTTTGAGAGACCTGGTGAAAGTGAATTACGGATGAATTATATTGGAGGTTAGTTGGAAGTCAACCGTAAAGAATTCCCAACAGCACCGAAATGTAAGTGTGGAGATTCTAGCGAGCGGTTCTTGGCCCTATCATTAGAGCAGTAGCTGTTTGACAGGGAAAAAATACAAAATATGAAATTTCCTTGTAACTATTTTCTCATCATTCAAGTTCATCCAGAATTTATACTGAAAGTGATTTCAACTGAAACAGGGGAAACAAAAGACGCGTTGGATGTCCACATGCTGTTTATAAGAGAGGCCGAGAGATACTATCAGAAGGCGGGGAAGAAAGGCAAAATCGTTCATATAATCGAAGGATTCGAAATTGAGGTATCACTCCTACTTTCATTATTTAATAGCTTGACTTGGATCTATCGGAAAAGCATTAAAAAAAATGTAATTTCAGGAATCTGACGAACCATTCCCCTGTGAACCGCCCATCCGTTTGAGTGATTGGATCACTTCTGAAGCAGAGCTAAAAGAAGGGACGCCAGATGAGGAAGAAGAGCAAAAAGAAGTAGCAGCAGAAGCAGTAGCAGCAGCAGCAGCACCACTACCACCACCACCACAATCACCACAACCACCACCACCGCCGCCGCCGCCGCAGCCGGATTCATGTATGTCGAAATTTAAGTCGTAAATAAATAGTAGCGGCATGCACGAGGGACGCGTACAGCTATGCGCTTTTGCAGCAGGATTTTAGGCTCTCAGAAGCGTAAAAAATAGACTTGATCTTTTTTCCGCAAATGAAAATCGGCGGAAAAATTTCGGATTCGATTCAGAACTTGCTTCGTTTTAGAGGCGAATAAGAGGCAGAAAAGTAGCTGCCACCCCTCGCTTGGTCTTCTATTGTGCTGTAATTGGTTTTCCTAAGCTGCTGCTCATCTTATGTCTCCCTTGCATGTCACAGTGGTGTTCTTCTCTCTCTAATTAACCTCTTCTCGCCTTCCTTTTCTTCGGCTCTTCTGCACCGGGGACTATGGAAGAATGCCCCCCCCCCTTTTCCCACCTTCCTCCCTACAACAAGTTTTTGAACGGAACAAAATTTTATTAAAAATTGAATTCGCCTCCCGCTCCTACCCTA